AAAAAAAAAAAAACAATGTTGAAAAAGGGTTTTCCAAAACAATAAATGATCGTTGAGACTTGACAGTTGATAATTGCAAATTAAAATTAATTTTGAAAGTAGATTTGAATTTATAGTAAATAATTACTATCACTGGATGCAAAATATGGTGATTTTAAGATACCGTGCATTTGGTTTCTTTAATCAATTTGATCATAATTAATGGAAAACGGATGTAGTTTTATAAAAACAATGTTTGAGTACTTATCAGTGGTCCATGAAGTGATAGGGAGTGGTAATAGGGCTCATAGCTCCAAAGGATGGAATGGACTAATAGAGATTTAATTGTAGGGCTATATTGATTTAATCGTTAATCAATAATATTTTTTGCTTGTTTGAATATTTTCATACTGAAATATCATATTTAGAAAAATTTAATAATACCTGTAGCCTGGTATTTGACAACATACATATTCAATTTCGTTCAAACAGTATGACGGAAAAACCATCCCAATTATTAGACAATCTGAAAAGAATTTGTGTCGATTTTATTGATTATCGATCAATACTACTAGATAACAATTTAGTGATTTGATTTCATTGGAATGAAATTGAACCAGTAGGTGAAAAGGTTAATTGTTTTACTGATCTAACATTGCACTAATAAGCTGATTGCTTTATGATATATAAAGTTGGACTAATAGTAGCCCTTTTATGTAAACTTTATTTACCTAACCTCATTAATAGCTGCAAAAATATAATTTGGGAGGGTGCCAATTGCATTAACATCCATAAGGCTTTGCTGTCAACAATATGTTGAAATATAGACCATAAAGTCGTTCAGTGAAATAAAATTGTATTGGTACAGTGACTTTTAATCAGCAAGTGCAAAATAGGCACTTATTATTCTTCACAGAAATAAATAAAACAAGGCCATTATATGCTTTCATTGACTTTGACTGGTCTCATGATAATTGAAGATACTTTTAATAGGAAACCTTGATTTTAACTTTTCTTTATTGTTTTATTCTTTATCAGTATACTCACCAAATAATAAAGGCTTCAAAATTTGGGCATAAATATTTTACATCTGTAGCAAACAAAGCACAAGTGAAATAGTGAATTGATTAGCACAAACTCACAGACAGTGTTCTTCTTCATCATCATCATCATCATCATCATCATCATCATCACAGCAGTAAATAATAATAATAATTAAAAACAGAAAATCAAGACAGATTACAAAAATTAATTTAACCTAACGACGATCTAATGCTACAACAGAATCGCAAGGCAAAATATATGAGTTCCACAAGTAAATCTTGTAGCCTGTAGGACCTGTTGAAATCATGAACCAGACATGTACGTGTACCTCGTTTGAGCTCCAACCAGAAGTTCGACAAGTTTCTCTACAAAAAAGGGAGAGTAAAAAATCTTTTTAAGGATGTTTTAAAAAACATGATGAAAAAAAATTATAGGTAATTGTTAAACATACCAGTAAGAAGCCCGATAATGGGAATAGGCTCTAGTAGCTTTTCGGTTCTATCAAGTCTTTGCCTGAAGCAAAGAACAAAAATATTAACAATCTGTATCTTCTTACTTTCAGCAAGTTTTAGAGAAGTGAGTAGAAAATAGTGAAAATAAGACGTGGAAAACAAAGGTAAAAGAAAAAATTTGCCGAGTGAAACAACATATTACCGGGTATACTTGGTGAAAAAAGGATCTCTCATGAGGTAAAGAGCCCATAGAAACTTTCGCCTTTTTAACTGCGGCAGTAAATAATTAATCAAGAAGAAACTAATATATACCATCAAGAGAATTAGGGAGAAAATTTCTAACCTCATTTTTCTCGATAGTGGAAAGTTTAAAATCCTTGCTAAGGCGACTCGATACTGTGACTGTTGAAATAATTCCATGTCCAATAAGATCTACTAATAAAGAAGTAAGCCATGGAAGCCATGAGCGGGCACCATATCTTCTTATTAGCAACACATAAACGAGCGGTCTTAAGATGAACATAACCTCTCCTGTTAAAAACAGGCCCCCGGAAATACCCTTTGCGGACAAGAAAGTCGAGAGATTAGGTTTCTCCTTCACCAGTGCTGTTATGAAACAAAAACAAATTTTACAGACTTAGCTTGCATATACTTTTTGCAAGAACTGTTCTTGAAAATTTGACCAAATAAAAAGGAGAAAAAAAATATCCCTTTGTTTTAAAAAAATCAAAATACTCTGAACAATTATCAGGTGGGTTCTTTTTTTCTTTTTTTTAGCTAAATATCCTTGGAAAAATAACATAGAATTATGGAGAAAAAAAACAATTACTTGGAGGCTCCAAGATTTCCTGCTGGTGATGCACTCGACGCAACCAAGTGGGCTCAGACACTGACCTAGCATTTTCACCAAACCTACTTAAGGCAGACAAGGCCCTTCCTTCAAGATTCCATGGAGTTTGCGGGCCTGGGCCCGAAGGAAGCCCATTTATACGAGAATCTAATTCACACCCGTCATTACTACTCTCCCCACCATGCAAAAGCATTTTGTAACCATTTTTCCGCAAAACTGCTAACCTGAGTAATGCCCTGTAATCGGTTCACCAACCAAAGTGGTTACAACTTTCTTTTAATCAAGCAAATATAAAATAAAATTTAGAAAAAAGAAAACATTTTGAGCCAATTTAGGGAGTTACTTGATGGATTCTGTTAAGGCCATGAAGTTCCATTTTTTCTCTTCACCATAATATTGCTGGGCAACAACTTCAACGAGAGTTTCCATGTCCTTAAGCAAAGTTATGCAGAGTGACAAAGGGAAAGAAGAAGACTCTGCAAGCCCTGTTCGTGCCCGTGTTGGAGGCGTCTCGAGTATGTGGTTGTTGATGGTAGTGATAATACCCAAAAGGGATGTAACTGGAGCAAAATTACGTGAGATGCATGGGGAAATTGCCATTTCAACGGAATATAAAATATTAGCAAATAATATTGATAAAGTACTATAAAAAACTTTTCTTGCATTAAGCTTTTGCATTTTCCATTAGTATATTTTTGGGTCTTAAATTAGTGCAAAAGTTTACGAATGTAATACAAGATTCTTGTATATATAGAAACAAGAAGAAGCCGTGTTACCAAAATTTTACAAAACCTGCTTCTGGTCCGATTTCTGATTCTGAAAATCGTTCTGGGAGAAGCCATGTTAAACCCTGAACATATATTTTAAGATAACATCATAAAGATACAGTTTTGATAAAATGTCTGTAAATTAAGACGATTATATTCAAATACTTCCACTCAACAATGATACGCAGTGGCGTGGAAAATATTCCAGACAGTACATGCCAGAGTTGAATTTGCACAAAAAATAAATGTCACTGACATTCTATAGAAGAAGAAAAAAAAAAAAAATAATTTGATGATATAAACTGCAGAAAGCTTACACATGGGCCTTCTCGTTTGGTGATGCAACTGGGAAGTATATTCACCCCAGAAATAATTAATAAATAAAAACACAATAAGCACACTAACTTTTTCTTGCTATACATAATGCTTCTTTCATACTCACAAAACTTTTCTTCAGCGGTAACAGCAGTTATGCACAATTACAATCACACTATTCAGTTTAACTAATGAGAAGACCAAATTGAAGTTTTCTACCGAAAGCAAAAGAGGCAAGCCAGAAATAAACCATATTTCAGTGGACATTCAATAAGTCCATTAAAAGACATCTGGGTAGATTCATCATCAACAAGCTATACTATACACCGCTATATAATACACAGACACCACAGATCTTCGTTAATATAATCACAGAAGATTTTGGAAGAACAAAAACTACCTATCAGACCATTATATTATCCAGTATCTGAAAAAACACGGCATCTCAACAACTAATCCTCCTCAAATCCACACTCACTGTTAAGTATTGCCATAAACAGAACAAAATCCACAGCTATTAACTACCATTGTGCTTGTATTGATCCACAAATTATCCAGAAGTTCATCTATTTTTCTCAGCAGACAAAAGTTCTCTTCTTTTTTCACGAAAGATAAAAGAAAGATCTTATACATACCAAAGCCCAGATAGATATCATAATAAAAAGTAGGCAAATTTGGTTCCAGGACCAAGGCAAACCAAACAACGGAAGCTAGAAAACGGACTACAAATCAAACAAAATACACACGCGCGCGACAAACGTTATTAAAAATAAAAATAATGAAAACTTTGTCTCAGCAAGCTTACATTAGCTAAAGACTCCAAAGAATGCACATATTCCTTATTCCTCTGAACCCATCTCCTGTAAGCTTCCATAGATCGCAAGGATAGTAATGCAACCAAAACCAGGCAATCTAAGGCTTAAAAATCCCCTCTTTCGAGTGCAATTAACGAAATTTTCTGGAACCCTAAACCGCTCATCGAGGTCAATCCACCGCTCAAATTCAAATTCGCGATTTTGATATATAAACAGATGAGGAATCAGGAAAAATTTGAGGGAACCTCCTTTATAATAAGGGCTTTGTTTCTTGGGATTTGTTCGCCTGTTTGTGATATATGCCTATGATTGAAGGATTTGTCTTGAATGGATGAAATAAGATATTTCTATTTTTTATCTATGATAAAAAAAATATTTGAGTCAAGGATATTTATAGTATTTCTTTAATATTTTTTCGCCTTTGGATTTATAGTATTTCTTTAATATAGTATTAAAGAAATAGAATTTCTTTAATATTTTTTTTGTATATGCCTATAGATATTTCTTAGTATTTCTTTTAAAAAAATATTAAAGAAATACTATAAATATTTTTATCCTTGTCTGGATCATAGGCGAAAAAATCCAAAACCAATCAGATATTTATAGTATTTCTTTAATATTTTTTTTTCCTTGTCTGTCCGTTTGGTTTTGTCTGTTTAAATTTTCATTTTCTTTTGCTAATTCAGATTTGGTGTTTGCATGTCATTTTTTAAAAAAGTTAAAACAATGATTAAATTCAAATATATCCAAAGGACTCTCCTCTCCTGCTGAATATTAAGCTAAAAAAATTTGAAAAATCTCAAAAATTAAAGTCTTGGCCAAACTGTGTTGACTATTTATGAAATACCAAACTGGTCCAATAAAGTCAAGGCCACAATGAGTCATGAAAAGGTATAAAATATATTGATCCAACTGAATTAAACTGTTGCAAGTTCACAGAATATAAAGCATACCTCTTCCCTATCTTAATAAAAGCTAAAAGAAGTAAAAAAACAATATTTGAGAAAACGTTTTCTTTATTCTTTCTGAGTCTTTCGAGTTCAGACTTCAGATTCCGCATCTTTGAGCTGCTCTTTTAGTGCTGATATTCTCAGCTTAAGCTCTTCCTCTGTTATTTGATGGTTTATAGGTGATAAAAAGTTGCAGGAAAATGCTTTCAATGCTTCAACAAATGGATATTTACCAAGTATTCATTTATAAATATTTATTACAATTTGTTAGTCAAATCAACTAATACAATTAGCTATCACATAGATATTGCTAATAGCCAAACAAAACCAAGTATGTTTGGAGATTTTTTAGGGGGCACGATTGAGAATGTGGGTTTGTTCGTGAGTGATGGGTTTATTAGTTTGATTGAATTTAGGACTGAAAACTGCCTGTAATTTAATGTAAGTTTGTTTATGTTTATTTATTTATATTTTTAATTTTTTAAAATTAATGGTTATTTAAGTGTGGTACTT